AAAAAAAACAATCACAATCTGATTCTGATATTATTCACAATGCATCAACAACTTTTATGTTTGATCATATAAATGCAGCCTTGGTGAGCATAATACTTTAAAACCATTAAAAAAATCTTTTATTGGCACTTGGCAGTATATCTTTTTGAAGATAAATGAGTTTTGTGTGTGTGTGTGTGTGTGTTACCCGAGGCCGCAGCAGGGTATCGTCAGCACCCTCAGGAAGGCCAGTAGAGTTCTCAGGGGCAGCAGAGTGAACACGTACAGAAAGGCATCCAGACACAGGCAGACCCCGAAGATCATCAGCTATAGGAAGACACAAACAGTGCTGTTAGCACATGCACTCACATATGCAAAATGTTTAGTTGCATTCAGTCATGTTATACAGAAACCACACAGACATCATACTAAGAAACCCCTCAGCCCTGAATCCTGATGCTTTACATGCTTGAGCGCACTGAAGCATGTAAAGTGTTGAAGGAGGCTTTGAATATGTCTGCCAGCACTCCGTAACCTTAAAATATTTTTCATCTTCAGAAGGCACTCCTTCGTTCAGAGAAACACCATTAGGAACAAATTAAAACGTTAACATACACCACAAGCAACTGGCTCTTTAAAGTCTGAGTGTGAATCCTGAGGGAGCAGCTATAAAATGGAGTGCTTGTTTGGAGATGAGACAATAGTTTTACAGACCTCTCTCTTTTCTCTCTCAAAAAAAAAAATAAAATAAAAAAAAAATAAGCAAATAAATAAAATATTTTTATTTATATATATTTTGCAATAATACCATGAACTATACAGTTGTGTAGCTCGGTAATCATTACAAATTTATATATATATATATATAATAAAAAAGATAGTACACCAAACAATGATTTGTTCGGCCTCAATAAACTCTAAATTCCTGCTTATTAATAGTTAGTAAGGTAGTTGTTAAGTGTATGGTATTGGTAGGATTAAGTGATGTAGAATAATGGTCATGCAGAATAAGGCATTAATATGTGCTTTATAATTACTAATAAACAGCCAATATCCCAGATTCCCTGTAATATGCATGATAGCAAAATATGCATAAACAACTAGTAAATAGTGAGAATCGGACGAAACATGTTGGGTAAACTATAGTGGCAACAAAATACTGGTCAATACAGTCAAGTGCCAGTTTCATCAACCAGGGCCCATCAGCCATCTTTATAGTTGAGCCCTGCGAGATGTAGGAAGCATGAGCCTTACCTGCTCAGAGAAAACAAACTGGCAGGCAGCGATCATTCTGAATGAAGGTGGATATCTATTATGAAGCTCATCATTGACTGAGTGCATGTTAGTTCCAGAAAAGCGTGTAAATCGTCTGTCTGTACTGACCAGGAATCAGTAGTTCCAGATCTAGCCTCTCATCTGTGCACTGGAAACATAATGAACAAATTGGTGTTTGGAGAGTTTGCTGAGCTATTTCTAGGGTTTGAGGGGCGGAGCGACTTCAGGGTCACAGAGCCGTCTTTGTGTGCACATACCTCAGCTGTCAACATATCACACAAACCTGAGTAGAGCGAGTGTGATCTTGGGGTCTTGAGGTGAATGGAAAAATGCAATGAGAAAATATGAAATCTGATATACATTATTTGAATCAGATGAGAAAAATGCTATGGGAAAATATGAAATGTGATAAACACTATATGAATCAATACATATTTGACCATCCCTCAATAACTCAATATCTGTTTCCAATAGCTCAATATCTCCACCTGGTGGCAATAAACACTTTTATCGTGTTTGTTAAGAAAAGGTGAAAAATAAAAGAAATTTTCTCTTCAGAAAATTTGGACTGAACCGCTCGATTCATACGGATTAGTTTTACAGACTCTTTATGAACTTTTTGAAAAAGATCTTCATTTGTGTTGAACAAATGACGAAGATTGAGTAAATGGAGACAGAATTTTAATTTATGGGTGAACAAACCCTTTAAATATTTGGAAAAGTATCCATGCATGAAATACATGTGTTGTATTGTATTTGTATTTGTATTTGAAAATGAAAATTTGTCCTCGGATTTACTCAATTCACATGGATGTTCCTTTGGGTTTACACCTCAAAAGAAAGAAACAGAATTGTGGGACCCACCCTCTCCAGCTCTCTGGGGATCCTCATGCAGGTGTACACCCTTTCCCTCCGCTCCGTGTACTTGGCCTCGTTGTGCTCCAGGAAGTAACCCCTGGTCATCTCGGCACACATGAACCTCAACAGAGACGGCTCGTCAGAGTCATCCAGGTCTATGGGGTACAGACCAAATAAGCGGTTCAATGTTATTAAAGGCTTAACATTTAAAATGGTGATCAACATAGAATCATTTCAGTATTTCTGCAAAAAAATAGCAAAATTACAAACATAACATATATGCATAACAGACAAAATAATTATTCCAATGAACTGGAAAAGTGACGTGCATGCGAGTGGTGAGAAAAATAATGGTGATAAGCAAGAATAACTATTCAGACATTTTGGGTGCAGAGTTTGACAACACAACAGCCTTCTCATCAACAGATAATAGACATTCTGTCTATTTTAATAATGTCAATGCTCATGTTTACTTAAAATACAAGCTTATTGAACTTGGATAAACAAATAAAAACATTATTTGAATATAGAACTTAAATGTATTATTTTGTTTGGTGAAAGCGCACAAAACATTTTTGCCCCCTCATAAGTTCAAGTACCGAAGCTGGTTTTTGGGTTCTCATATATAGCCTATATATATATATATATAATTATATATATTTTTTGTAACATTTTACAATAAGGGTCATTAATTAACTACATTACTTAGCATGAACTAATAATGACCTGCACTAATACATTTATTAATCTTTGTTCGTACTCATTTAAACATTTACTAATACATTATTAATATCTTGTTAACATTAGTTAATGCACTGTGAACTAACATGAACAAACAATGAATTATAATTTTTATTAACTAACGTTAACAAAGATGAACAAATACAGTAACAAATGAATTGCTCATGGTTAGTTCATGTGAGGTAATATTAATCAATTTTTACTGTGTGTACCACTAGAATACCATTTGAGGGTTGTGGATCATTGAAAAGATGAGTTTGCAGTGCACTCCTGATCTTTTCAGCAACATTAGGCTGCATATGCTGCATTTGCATGATTTATTTTGTAATATTAGATACTTGTAAACATATTTGGGGGGGGGGGGGGGGGATTGATTTTAGGATGGCCAAAATAAAACAATATCAAAATAAAAACAACGGCCATTCATGTATCCCCCTAGATAGATAATAAATAAAATAAAAATAAAAATTGTCCACTCATTGCAGTACTGTAGCGGTTACATATCCTCTAAATAGGGCAGAGGCTAGAGGACATCCTCGGTCAGCTTTTCAGTGCACATTTCTCCCTGGAAGTGTTCCTAACACCACTTTGGAACAGAACCAGGTAGGCTGTTTAAGAGAAATTATTCAAAGACCTCAAATGACCCACTCAGGCTTCCCATGAGCACTTAAGACTAAACAAAGAGACAAAGTTGAGGATATATGAATGAAACAAAACAACAAAACAATTTAGAACTGGTTTCAATGACTGCTTAGTGAGAAAACGAAATATTCACCCAAACATCATTGTAACGTTACACACTTTAGCTGTGGCCACATTAGAAGACTTTTATACATCCATTTAGTAAAGCAGGTCAACTAATGCCACGTTGGAAGCAAAAGGCGAAGGTCAGTTGTCAGATGCTCAAGCTTAACGTTACCTGAGTGCTCGTGCTCGTCTATAACGGCGGGTTTCTCGTAAAATCCGAGAGTTTCCGTCATATTCGCCGCCGAACTAAATACGTTTGTCTTCCTCTATATCGCTGCAGTTAGTGATGTGACATTTAAACCGAGGCGTCGGAGCTTGTGTCAAGAAAAAATGGGTGTACCAGATGAAGCCGCGATTCTAAGCTTGTGTTGTTAACGTGAAAAATGACGTGTCTAATGACAAACGAGGCCTCGGTTTCTGTGAAAACATCATCATCGGTTCAGTCTGAGTGTCGCTTCCGGATTGAGATTGTTCGAAACTCGCGCCACCTTCTGGGTGTTGCAGGAGTAGTAGTGTCAGAGAGTCACTCTGAGAGATAGAAAAATCATTGGCATTGTGTCATATTGTGTCATGTATATTATTACATTATATCAGGTTAGTATAGTGTTATTAATAACTGTAGTAGCTATATTAATTCAATTAGATAACATTATTTGGATTGCTTTGGATTTTTGGATCTGGACTGCTTTTTGCTTTGTACTGCCCTTTTGGATTTGTTTGCTTTTTCCTGGTAATGGCGCCTGCAAGAAAGAGGAGATCCTCCCCCGTTTCTCTACCATAAGGCCTAAAAAAAAAAAAAAGTTTGGTTCCGGTTGGTTGTCAGTTGAGGTCATGGGTCGGTTGTTTCTGCAGTATTTTCAATTTTGATATTTTTTGGTCAAAACTAAAAATATCAAAGTGAACTATCCCCTCAAGCCTTTTCACGTGCTTGTCCTCCAGACAAGTAAGTAAATCTGTCAATCACTTGTCTGAGTAAAAAGTTGCTTGTCCGGATTTTTTAAATGTATTTATTTTTTATTCAGAAGCAATATTCTCATCAGTGTTCAATCAGCTTTGATATTTAAAAAGGCATATTGTAATATCTGCACCTTTAAGGGCATCTCCTCCACCAATATTATTAAATGCCCTATAGTGTCTTATTATTCTAAATAATTGAATTTATTGATCAAATTTAGGAATTAAAATGAAAGATGAAGCATACTGTTACCCTAGGTAGGGCTAATCAAATTAAATCATTTACAATGAAAAATTACAATTTCATAAAATAATGTTATGAAATTGATTTAAATGTGCAAATAAGAAATTTTGGAAAGAATTATACTAGGCTACTTATAAACATAACACTAAACTGCCAATAGGTGGCGGCAGGCGGCCGTATTAATGAGTGAGTTATTGATTCATTAATTCAAACGATTCGTTCAAACGGTTGATTCATTCAAGAATGATGTTTATGAATGGGTCATTGAATCTTTGACTCAACCGATTCGTTCAAAATGCTGAATCATTCAGTAATGAAAACAGGATGAGTTCCTGTGAGATGCGTCGTGGTTCTGCTGTGACTTTTCTTTGGAACTATTTTCGCTGCTGAAATGGAACAAAAACACCCAATATTGCTTATAAACAGTAAGTGACTTAATCTTAACTGTTTATTGAACTGTTGTAGGAAATCAATGTCACTTTTTCAATCGTGATGGTATTCAGGAAAAATAATTGAGGCTGCTTAGTGCTTAACATATGTTAAAATATAAAAACTCCACATTTAGATTTTTTATAGGCAGAGTATGTTGTTAACTCTGTGTGTGTGTGTGTGTGTGTGTGTGCTCCACTCATGTGTGTAGATTTCTCTGCGCGAGCGTCAACAGCGCAAATTTACCATCAGTAATACAGTAGCTGCTGCCTGCTACATTTATTATCCACAATCGATCGCAACTTGCAATAAATGTAATAAAATCAGAATCATTCTCTCGGTTTAGTGATTCCCTAGTTATTTTTTTGTTTGTTATTGATGTTCTAATCAGGCTACTTGTCCGTTGGGGTGAGTAAAATTCTCTTTTACTTGTCCTTCAAAAATCCATTTGTCCCGGAAAAGCGGACAAGTTAGACGGGCTCTAGAGATACGAACCGCGGCAGGTTAGAGTGTTTTGGATTGCATAAAATAATGAAAGAAACGAACAAATACATGGCGAAATAAGTGATAGACAGCAGAAGATGGGATTGGGATCATGATTGGAATTTTTGGGATGATTTTTAATAAAACTAGGCGGATGGAGGTATTAGTATGTGGTGTGTACATGCCTATGAATGCATGTATTTGTATGTGTGCGAATATGAATAAAAATATCCTAAATTACAAAAAAAAGAGACTTGTATAGTATGTAGTTCAGTTTGACGAACGATATCTGCCTCGTTTGTTAATAGATTGCTGGAGGACAAGATGCATCTTGCATCGCGTGCTATAAAAAGACGGAGCTGTACAAAAACGTAAATTTATAGTTCGCCTCAAATTTTTTTATTTGTGTATTTATTTAATTTTTATTATTTCTTCCCCAAGCTCATAAAATAATTTTGGGTCGCACATAAATTGACAGGGTCGGTCGGAAACCGGAAACAAACATTTTTTTTTTTTACGCCTAAGCCGTTTCCAAAGGTGTTTCAGAGAATTTTCCAGCACATCCAACCGGCCTCACAACCGCACACCACGTGTAACTGCACCCTCTGTTCCTTATGAAAGGATCTTTTCCAATGCTGGAGGGGTTTTGTCTAAAAAGAGGAATTTTCTAAACCACAACACACTTTTTTTTTGTATATGGACATCATCAGTTTGCCCAGGTCATTGGTTCAGAATTAATTAATTTGTTTGTTACTTCTTTGTGCAGTAAGCTAGGTGTCACTAGTGAGCAATGCTGAATGAAGCATCGTCTCAGTGGTTCAGAAAGCCTCATTTTGACTTCACTAACAGATTTGCTAGCAGTATCCAGGGAACATTGGACCCTTTCGTGATTTCGTCATTTTCGGAATCTTTTTCGTCTGACGTCCCGATCGGACCCGGCGAATCCGCCATTTTCGCTGTGGCGTCATCACACATTTTGCACGTGATATTGATAAACAAAGTAACGTTATGCAGAATAAGCAGCACGTTATAGAAATATCACAGAAGTCGCTATACTTTAACTGTAATTAGTTTTTACCCCCCCCCCCCCCCCAATTAATGTATAATATTTACTGAAATAAATTGAAATGTAGCCTATACAATATACAAAATAATACAAGCAGGAATATAATGGATTTTTAAGTAAAAATATTTCACTGAGTGGTTAGTGTGTGATCATATTGAACACAGGGTGGCGCTATTGGGGCTTTATTGAGACAAGAGGCAGAACGAAGAGTGCGGTGGATTTATTTACCTGGCTGTTGTCAAAACTGAACTCGTACTTCGACGAGAGATGTGTCATAAGTCAGGTCAGACACACAGACAGACACACACACACACACACACACACACACACACACACACACACACACACACACACACACACACACACACACACACACACACACACACACACACACACAAAGTTCTTCCTTTCGTTTTATGGCAGATTGCACTCACGAAGTGTGGGACAAAGTAAACCTTGAGTTAGAGGGGGCAGAAATATTAATGCAAAAAGTTTTGTAAGCACAATTTATTGGCACACAAAATGGCAGAGCATACACAGAAGAGTTTTTGGATATGACACAAAAAACACTAAATATTTTACAAATTGTGCAGAGTTTCAATAATACAAGGATAAAACGGTGGGTGGCTGATATTGTGTCTTGTTTTGAACATATCTCAGGCTTTGAGAATATTCCGGAAATACTTTTTTTTTTTTTTTAATAAAGTAACGTTATAGAAACAAAGACACTAATTAAAAAAGAAATATTTGGCTCTTTGTCATCATCATAATACTTTTAATCATTAAAGCACACTATGCAACTTTTAAAGGGACTTACAAATCCAATGTACAGTATATGGAGAAAAGGTGCATGTATCTAGCTACATAAATTACATAAAGCTGTATAAACGTGATCACATAACTTGCTGAAAGGGCATTGCAGTTTCTGGAATGATGATTTTCAGATAAAAGGGCTGTTTTCATACATATTAAAAGCATGATATGTATAAAGCTTGCCATATGTTATTTAAACTCATTTAAAGCTAATGAACAGAATATTTATGGCTGGACTTACAGTAATCTGTATTTAACATTCTCATTTCTCAGTATGGTGTTCATTCCTGTGTATGAAATCCATTATATAAAAAAGTCAAATAATTCGTAAATGTCAAAACAGCTGTCGTTTACATCAAGGTTTCACAACATCAGATGAAGCAGAACGCATTTTTATTGTCGAAGTTAAAACCCTGGATACTGTGCTTTCAAACTGATAACTGGTCTGGCAATGAACATGTTACAGATTTCAAAATGTCATGCAGAAACGTAACATGGTTCATTTAGAAATTAAGTCAATAGACGGAAGATGGACAAATAATCTTTATGTGCCTGCCTGTCAAAAAACTCCAAATGTACGAGGAGAACACATAATAGTCACAAATTAATAAAATAACACATTGACTCTGAAATCAAATAGGAATATTTGAATTAAAGTACAATCTGTAAATGGTAACTGACTCTTCTATACAAGCGGTCTTTGTTAATACAGTCTGTTGTGTTGAAGAAATGCAAGGCGGTTCACTTTTAATTGAAAGCAGAGGGAAGAAGACAATAGCCAAACAAATTTCCAATAAAAATGCAAATGTTCAGGGATTGGTCTCGGTGGATGCCTCTGCAGTTCCAGTCTTCAATTAGAGGACAGCCAACATGACCATCTCTCCAGCATTGGTTGACGTTGAATGTGGTTGGCAACCGAAGTCACTATGGAGATATGTGATGAACTTCGAGACAGACGGTAGTTTTTGTTTTTACAATGATTATTGGGCCAAAGTTGTCCCAAATTCAGGTCTCTGTTAATTCAGACCTCATTCAGCCTTAATAAAGTCCAGTTCCTCCAAGAGTCACATTACTTACGCTGCTTTGTAGCCTATAGCTAGATGATTTTTAAAAAATCCAGTGAGCAAATATTGCTGCCAAAGTTTGGTCAGTGAAGTTCCTAAATGTTACCCAAAATACGGAGAGGAACCATCAGTTTCAGGTGAAAATGGATGACATCATTAACACCATGACATGGGATTAACATCATCAAGGGTAAAAAGTGAGGTCAGAGAGAGGGAGTGCGCCGCCCTGGTGGTTTAACTGGGCACTGCGCATGTTGTCTCCTACTGAGAGGGCTGCGAGGCCGTACTCTCGGGCTTGCTGTCCTGCCCTGTGGGTGGCTTGCTGTTCCAGGGACTGTTGTTGCCGAGCGCCGGCGAGCTCGTGAAGTCGTCGTCATCGTCCAGACCGTTGGTGGCGTCGTATTGTGTGTTTTCTAGCCGCGTGATCAGACGCTCGTCCTCATCGCCAAACTCCCCGCCCATCAGAGTGGGCTCACCTACCACCATCACATCCTGCAATAAATATTTACACAGTCAAAAAAACTGACAAAAGAAGAACAATTTGAAAGACAAGTTGTGAAAAAACTAACTAGATCAACACTACCAATGTTGGACGGTGAAGGACCAGTGATCCCTAACCCTGACCTTAGCAAGCACCAGATAAAATGGTTAATATAGGAAATAAACAGATTTATATACATTATTAGTAATACTATATTTAAAAAATAATGTATTAAATGTAGTACATTCAAATTCAAAATATTCAAAATATATTAAATAAGATATATTAAGATGTGATGTGATTAATTGATTGAATTGAGATTAATTAGTTACAACCTTTTTAAATTGTATTTTAATGTTCTAAAAATAATGTGTATGTATATATAAAATAGCAATCAATTGTGTGATTTATTAGTTAAAAATGTTTTTATTTCTTGACAATATCAGACCTGGATGTTTGTTTTACTTCAGCACAAGTTTTCTGTTCTTTACTTTCTCTCTCTCTTTCTCTAGTTGAATTCTCAGGCTCAACTGATCAGTTAACTGGAGCACATGCTTCGTTGATCATGTGTGTCGACACGCTGCAGCATGGGAGCTCTTTATCTTTACCTGTCTGCCTCATTGTCTACTCCTCTAGCTCCCATTGCCAAGAGTCCAATTGTCTCATATTGAAGGGAACAGAATATTAGATCCATATGGGACAGACCTACGTCAGCATACAGAAGTTTAGGAGCTCCGCAATCCACATGAGTGAGCAAACAAAGATGAGATGCACTGATTGAAACTCAAACAATATTTGGCTGAGAGTTCAACAGAGTCCCAGCTTTAGCATCGGGGAAGTGAATTTGCATTTAGCGTGGTTATAGACTGCATTCATATCTGTTTTGCTGAGACACATTAATGTGGGCAAATAAATAATTGGACACAGATCAGTCAAAATGCAAAGTAAATAGGTTGACCAAATGACTGTTGCAATAAGAAAAAGAGTACTAATATATTTGTAGTACTTTTATTTGTTATCTTTTTGCACTTAATACTGTTAATTAGAATGTTCTGATGTTAGAAATGGATGTGCATTTTTTTTCCACTGGATTTGTTGCTTTTAATTAAAATGTCTAAAATACATTTTAAAATAAATTTATTTTTAATATTTGTTGCTTTTAATTAAGATAAATGTATCTAAAATGCAAAATTAAAAAAGTTTCTAATGAAATATTTATGCAGTCAAGTTCTCTAGTGTTATAATTTGGGCGAAGCTAAACTGAAGTGTGTGACACTTTAGTATGACATTAAATTATTTATTTATTTTTACAACAGAAGCAATGAAATTGAATGTCAGTGTGCCTATTAATCATTGTGATTGCATTTCAAATGCAGTTTAGCATTTAATTCAAATTTCTGCAAATGGCAAATGCTATCAGCCCAGTAACATAACAAAATAAGGTCAATTCAACTAACAATAAACTAACAATGAACTTTACATAACTTATTATGTTGGTTATGCATACAGTACCGTTCAAAAGTATGAGATCGGTAAAGTGTTTTTAATGCTTTCAAAATAAGTCTCTCAGCAATGCTGCATTTATTTGATTAAAAATACAGTGAAAACAGCAATACTATGAAATATTATTACAATTTAAAATAGATTTAACATTTTAAGATATATTAATCTGAAGGGTCAGTTCATCCCAAAATTTAAATTCAGTCATCAATAATTCGTCCTCATGTCGTTCCAAACCTGTAAGACTTTCGGAATTTAGTCACATAGTGACTTTTAATTTTTTGGGTTAATTAACATTAGTAAATGTATTGTGAACAGTCATATCTTACCAATTGTCAATGCATGCATTTTCCAGTTACTTTTCTGTTTTCCTCATACCCTTCACACTCCTGGAGCTGCTCAATTTGCATAACCTGTCTTGTGATTCAGCTCTTTTACCGTTGCATCTGTGTTTATTTGTGTGCCATGGCTCTCGTGTCGTTTCGTGAGGGGGTTTGGCTGAGACCCCAGAGTCACTGTCAGCCCTTCCCACCCCTCTGCTTCTTAATTACTCTCATTCATTAAGGTGGGCTTTTTGACTAAATAACAATATCCACACACTGATTTGTCAATTTGCATAGCTAATTAAGTCATTAGCTGAAATGTTACCGATTAGAAAAAAAAAGAAAAAAAGAATGGCGCTTGCCAACGAGGCTTGACTTTGCCATCTGTTTTTGAACGGCAACTGTCGCCCTGCAGTCTGGGGTTTAAACCAGGGGCCAGGATCACACACACACACACACACACACACATACACACAGACGTGCTCACACAACCTACATGTTTCCAGCTGGTGGTTTGACGAAGAGCTCTAATTGCTATCAAATGGAAAGGCTGTCCAGTGCTCTTGTCTAATTAGATGTAGCCTGTGGCTAAACCCACACTGAGCCGCCCACAGTTATACAAACAGACTACCTGAATGAATGATCCCACACTGGATCTGAGCTCGAGGAGCACAGAAAGCCCTCATTTGAGCTGGACATTTTTTAAGACTGGAGAAAATTTCAATCCATCCACATATCCAGGCATGTTACACATGCACAGCTATCAATTAAATCATTATTTCAGGACAAAAATATGATCACAAGAGGGCACTGTTGTAATACTGTTGAACACGAGACCCCCTCCCCAACCCGGTGATCACATGATCAGCTCATTGTGATTGGGCTCACGTAGGAGGCTGATCTGGCAGCATGCGATGACTGCACAGACAAAGCCAAGTGGCCACACTACATATGTAACCAGCGTGTTCCTCTCCACGACGCGAGGCAACATTGCTTACAACGAGGCTCACTGCTTCGAATGGGGAGTAAAATGAAGAGTGTTGTGACACAGACCCGTATGACCACACACACACACACACACACACACACATCTATATGATAATGAGTGCTGGCACAGAGCCAGTTGCTCACACCAACAATTTTCTCACTGCTTGTGTGAATGTGTCTGCTGTCCTTAAAATGATGGACACTTGCTAGATACAAGCAGGACAAAATATATGCAATTAGAGTTACCTACACAGAGAGAGAAATTCACATTATATACAATTCACTTATACAGATCACGGCTGTTTTGTTAACTAAATCTAAAAAGCTGAAATAAAATATAAATATTACATGAAAGGCCACGCTTAAAAATGAAATTATAGAAATTAGAAAATGAATAGAAATGACTAGAACTTAAACTCAAAATTAAAATATAGTAAGCAGATTCATTATTTTAATAAATAAATATTATAGTGGTATATTTGAAATACTAAAATAAACCCTGATATAGATATACAATTAAATTTTTTTCATATTTAATGATACAATGATACATTGAATAATATTATTATATTATTAATATATATATATATATATATATTATACATTATATTTTATATATATTATTAATAATATTTATTTCATAATAATATAATATGAACATATATAATTTACTATATTTGGCATTGGCCATCCTGTAAAAAAACCCAAACACTATATGCACTTGTATATTGTTTATCATTATTAAAACGCTGAGCTGAAGAAAAAGTTAAAATAAAGGCTTGATACAATTGTATTTTTTCCTGAGGATTCTTCTTCTAACGAAGAACAAATTTTTTATCCTTTAGAGCATGTAACCAAACAGCTCTGGTTTTGACAGACTCGGCTGGAACACGAGGGTGTCTCTTCTCTTTAATCTCCTCTATGGCATTCATGTATCCAAGTGTCCCTGAACTCCAGGGGAAAAGCCACGCACTACAAATCCCATCATCCATCTGCAAACAAATTTACCGCCTCACAATACCACTCCCCAAAACAGCTTTCGCACTCGTGTGTTGTGCGTTTGACCCTGTGTGCAAACTGGGAGAACACATCAACCGCTAGAGTAATGGCTGAAAAGGAAGCCTGGGGGATAAAGAGGCACTCTGGGATAAATGCCTCTGTATTGGGGTTAAACACTGTAAGTGGGTAATATAGGAATTGAAAATGAGAGCTAAGGAGTCTCTCTCTGTGAAGGTGCTGAGAGTGTTTTTACTTTGGCATTGGCATTGAATATGTTTAATATCTGTTTCATGGCCCAAAACTCAAACCATGAACAAACTTCACATTACCATAACATGCCATTACAACACAGTAATGTGTCATTAGTTGTTAAAGGTGCGAATCAATACAGACAAAATCCAATTCGAAGGAAAGTTCACCCAGAAATCTGTCTTTTACTCACAATGATGCAGTTCCAAACCTGTATGAATTGATTTTTTTTAAGTTAAAAAACAAAAAGAAAAAATTCTGATGGTGCTGTTCAGTGTGCCGTTAACAATTGCAAACATATCACTGAATCAGTGAGTTGACTGAGCAGGCTGACCGAGTCAGTTTTATAAACAAATAATTCAGTCTGGTTTTATTAAAAGAATCAGTTGATTCACTGAAAAGATTTTACTAAAAATAAAGTTTTGTTTATGGATCAGACGTTTCTACTTTTTTTATGAACGTGCGCAAGGAGAGCTATGGCGAATGCCAAGAATATTTATATAGCGCAGAAATCATATGGACTACTTGTATGAACAGTTTTTGGTACTGTTAATGTAATTTTGGAACTTGATGGCCCTAGTCATCATTAGTTTTCATTCTATCTATCTATCTATCTATCTATCTATCTATCTATCTATCTATCTATCTATCTATCTATCTATCTATCTATCTATCTATCTATCTATCTATCTATCTATCTATCTATTGATCTATCGATCTATCCATAGACACACACATTGTATATATATATATATATATATATATATATACATATTGAATCAACTGATACATCAAGGTTTTTATACAGTACAAACAATATATTCTATCCCCAACACTAACCCACCCGTGAACCTACCCATCACAGAAAAATTTATGCATTTTTACATTTTCAAAAAACATCACTTGGTATGATTTATAAGCTGTTTTTCTCATGGGGGCCAAAAAATGTCTCCACAAGGACAAGGATTTCGGATATTGAAAATAAACAAATAATTAAGACATTTATGCAAATAAATAATTTTCTCGAAATAAATTCACCTTTTGTGTTTTGACACCCTAATTATAATCATATCCTTAGGAAAGCAACCTGAGCAAAATAACAATAACGTTTTTGGATGGATACAGTGTGTGTGTGTGTGTGTGTGTGTAAATAAGAAGATTTGATGCTTACAGGTACCTGGCTGGCCAGAGTGAAGTTGTTGGCAGGGCTACGTTTCTTGCCGCCAGCGCTGTTGCCTAGGCTACTGTTAGACGCACTGCTGGCGGAGTTCTTCCTCTTTCTTCTCTTGGTCGTGGTCTGTCGAGTGGGCTCTGCTCTCCACCAAGCACACAAGCACACACAGACGAGAAGTATTAATAAAAGACAAACGCACACATCCACACTCACAAAAACGCCACAATGCGAGTGCATGCACACGGAGGAAGAAAAAAGACTTTTCCAACATATGAGAGCATACAAACATAGGGGCGAATACACAAATGCATCATGCTTTTTTTTCTTTTTTTTGAGAGAGAGAAAGAATCAAAGGGCATTTAAACATCTCCCAAGACATGCACTAGTAAGAAAGAACCTCTGTTTTCATTTGCATAAATGCTCAACAGTGCGCACTGCAGTCTCTGCAGCCATGCATGCACGCTTATATCATTAATGTCTCAATGCTGTTTACTTTCATTAAATATCACAGTCTTTAAAATGAGATTTATAAGTCCTGATAACTTATGTAACACATTTATGTAACCTGTAATACATTTTAATGAAGAAATGAAACAAGTTTTAGTCAAACAAATTGCCTATTTATCGTGACTACTCAAATATCCACATGCAATATCTCTCTTTTTATGCTGAGCATTCATGATTCAAACAGAGAGGAAAATGTATTTCATAGGTTTCCATTTAGACACAGAATGAGGTTTCCCTGTTAGAAGATGATTCAGAAGACGAGACAAGTACCTTTTTTGTGATTTGAGGGGAAAATTTCTGTTTTGAAGTTCTGTGGATGTCCAGCTGAAACCATATCCAAAGCAAGATTTATTTTCCAGGTAATACTTATAAATAATTAAGTAGTTATGCAAATCAAGGACCAGAATACATATGTACTGTAGAAGCAAATGTAAATGGCAAGACTGCTGATAACAGCAGACAAAAATAATAATTATAATATAACTAAATACTTATAATAATAAGATTTCTTAAAATAACAATACATGTTTCTTGAGCAGAATGGAATGATTGTGACACTGAGGACAGGAGTAATCAATGATGCTTAAAAATCAGATTTACAGGAATAAATACTATTTAAAATACATTTGAACAGAAATAAATCACATTTAAAACATTAATAAAGAAATAAAATGTTTACAATATAACAGTTACAATATAACTGTTTTTACTCTACCTTTCATCAAATAAATGCAACATTGGTACTTCTTAAATCTTTCCAAACCCTAAACTATATACAATATACATAAAAATAAAAGTTAGCAAATGTTGTAAAGAATGTTCTGTACAGCCATGTATTATAACTATTATTATTATTATTATTATATATTAATTTAATTTCAGTATAACAATTAAAATATTTGGCACATTGTTAGTCAATGTAAATTTGAATGCAATTCTGAAAATGAAATACATTTTAGAGGTTCTTTCTAACCACACACAGGGAGATGTGTCCACATTGTTTGTGTATGACAGATTTCACATAAAGACGTATCCAATAATAAACAGCCTGTGCAAGGACATTTTTTTTAGAGAGAAGAACCTTTATTTTTGTATTTTTATCAGTGCAAGTGTGTGAATGACGTACTAAAACGTGCTCATTTCCACACATACACATACATGTGAAAAAAAAGGCAATAAAAAAAAACTTATCAGTGTTTAAAGGCAACCTTCTTTCCTTCCTGTTCCTGAACACAAAATGCTCTCCAGATTTTAAAAGAATGGGAGGAAAGAGGGAAGCAAAGCTAATAAGGAAACGACAATTACAGAAGATCCACTTCGATACGAATTGTGAGAAGGCCAGTGCTGACGCCTAAAGAGTGGGCGAGGGTCGTACAGGGTTTCATCCACAGGGAGCGGATGAAGGATGTGTTTTCAGGCTCATACATGTCATGTTGTCACTGTTTAGATCATAATGTATAGTAAACCCTTTGTGTGTTCTAAAGATGAGTTTAAATCGTTGTTATTGATTGATTTGACCCCCTGAGGAACATATAAAGGCGTCAAAGAAATATCTACAGATGTCTAATCCCTTCGTCATCTGCCAAATGCAGTGATTTAAAAGTCCCCCTGTGGTGAAAATCAAGTTTTGTAATGTTGTTTACGTCTATGTGGTGTTTTTAATGTGCTTTAAAGGACAACTCCGGCGCAAAATGAACCTTTGGTCTATTAACACATTGGTACATAGTCAACCGTTCTCTGAGATTTGTTTTCATGATAATCGAATGTAAAGAGTTTTATCTCTAAAAACTGTTTAGCGCATTACGCTAGTATATAGTGCATAGAGTAATGAAATCCATGGTCGTGGTTTGACTGGTTGAGACTGGTTTTCCAAAGATGGCTCCTGCCTGTATACGCGAAGTCATTATGTTACTGTGTTAGTGTGGGACTATGTTGAGCCTTGTTAGTGGTATCAACTAGCGATTTTGGTAACACTTTACTTATACAACCTTCATTTTACGACCAAAAAAATGAAGTTATTTACAGGTTATATATCTGCTTGTTACCCCTTTATTGTTCCCTTATACCTACATGGAAGTACACTATAATTACAGAAACGTACAATGTAATTTCGGTGTACTAATGCAGTTGTTTGCAGGTCGTAAAATAAAGTGTTACCGCGATTTTTCATTACTCGATGCCCTATATCCTAGCATTATATGCTAAACAGTTTTTAAAGATCAAACTCTTTACATTCGATTATCATGAAAACAAATCTCAGAGAACAGTTGGTTCATTTTGTGCCAGAGTTGTCCTTTAAGACAAACCATGTGCAAATTCATAAGTTAGCAACATTGCTAAATATTTTCTCTTTTAAACTGCAATGAAAAAAAAAATGTAAAAATTATTATTAACTGCAATGAAGCAGGGGAGTTATATTTTTCTATTGATATTACAAATCAGGCACATTTAGCAATGTAGCGGGTTGATTATGTAAATGATGTATATTACTATGTTATCATACATGCCTATATGCCTTTCAAAGCATTGTTCAAAGCGTTTGTACTAATTTTTAGATGGGAGTTGTAAGCCTCTGAGATAGCAAATGGGAACATAGTTTGTGTAACATAAGCGACACATCAGTAGCTGTTTGATAACGTAGTCAAGCAAAAGGATAATCATAATAATTACCGTTATGTTGTAGAGAGCGACACATAAAATGCAATACCATTCTGATACATTGACATCGAGCCTGTATAATTCGCTCTTCCACTTCTTCTGAATCAATTTCTGGTTCAAACATTTATGGCTGAATTAAACCAGTTATTTCCACTTACCATCGTAAAGCATTTATACAGTAAATCTGACCGAGTGGAGGCGGGGCTAATTAGCATATTCATGGTTCCGACCGAGTGTAGTAAATAAAGAAAGGGTGTAGATTTACATTCAAGCTATTTTAAGGCATGAATAAAAAAAATTCACGGGAAAAAAATGAGGGATACCCTGCTAAATGAATTGCTCGTTAAAGCTACCAGTTCGACCTCGTCCATGAGTGTTAACTCAAACGTAAACGCGAAAGGCGAAGCTTGAATTAACGGGTATGTCCCTCTTTGGCTCATGTACTTTCAAGATGGAGGGGCAACATGGCGACCGACATCAGAACCCCCTTACCCGTATGTATTTTCAATGGCATATTATACACTCACGAGAATACTTTATTACTTGAACGAAGTAAATATACATTAATGAGCACATATATTTTTGAAAGAACTAAGTGTATACATTAATGAGCACATATATTTTTGAAAGAACTAAGTGTTTTTAGCTAAGAACAAACTAAAAGAGTTACACAGTGTAGCTTTAAATACACTACCACAGACACTGTGTTTCCTTTTTTTAATGCTATGACATTCATACATTTTTAAAGTTTGGCTCAAATGTCCAAACATTTAGGGTTTTAAAACTAGCAAGTCTGTTCTAGTATGATATACAGTCAATAATGATGGAGAGGCTCACGTAAGAGTGTAAAACCACAAAACTACCACTCGTTTTCCCTGATAGGTCCAACCGAAGAGCTGAATATATTCCCTAAGACCATGACGTTAAACACACACATCCGTGAGGATCAGGTCAGATCACAAATTACTGCCATTAGGAGTGTCCCCGTTCCATAAATACAGTGGAGAGGACAGTGATTTGCTGTTACCTGGAGGGGCCACCATTCTTTGCCACTTCTGGAACAGACAGGTCTTTAGACAGTCTCTCGGGCTAAGGTTGTAGGTCTTGTGTCGGGACATTAACTCTTGCATCGGCTCCAGAATGACACACAACTGGAAGAAACACACATAAACATACACATGAAACACCATCAGTTACTGTCAAGTTACCCATTTTAAAGTTTTTTCAATATTAGCATTTAAATCCCACAGCGGGTGGCCTGAAATTCACACGGATACGCACACACACACAAATCATTTCCCACTGACAGGATCGTATCCAAACGCTGCTGTATCCTCTCACTTCCACAGGTCCAGAGAAACAATCTCTGGATCCGTGCCCACAGAGCGGGGCTATTTCTAGTCTGAATGTGAGGAAACCTACAAGCTTCCTTGTCCATCTCGCCGGACAGTGGTCTTATTACGTCCGAGCACAGGAAACATCCTCGGTGTGGATCTACTGATAAACGTGCTGAAACAAATGCAGTTTTTTCATGTGATGCTAATGAGTCACTTTTACGAGGTATTTTTACAGCAAGCCAATGCGAGGATCGTGAGAAATTACCCCGGAGAGAGGAAAAATGATCTTGTTTACGGGAATTACAGTGCACTGCTAAAATCCCAGAGGTTGACCCCACAATTAAGTCAGTAAAAACAATTATGAATTATTCATTTTTTTCAGACCCGAATGAGTCTTAGGCTTTTTCTTAAATAATGGGAACATGAGATATACATATATATATACACGGTAAAACATAAAGGTAAATACTACTGTATATGCACCATGGCTGATCATGTGCAGTGAAAAAAGCAGGTGCAGATTTAGCTGAGGGCGCATAGACTCGCTGTTACAAGAGCTGCGTATAATCCAAATTTAATTCACAATTCAGCTTAGGCTGCACCACTGCATTTGCGTTTATAAGAGAGACTGTGCGTTTAATGCGAGCAACAACAACAACAACTGAGAAAGACACACTCAGTGGGAGAAAAAACGGCTGTTCCTAAAACCTTGAAAGGGTCTTTTTTCCTTTGCTTCTCCCAGCAGCTCGCGATAAACAAGTTTGTGTTTTTCTGCTGTGCTCGAGCTCAGTGCAGAGAGGGACCCACAATGCCACACCTCAAATGGGAACACTCATTAATGTTATGCTAATTCTCTCTATCCAATTCATTTTCTCTCCCTCTCTTGTTCTCCCATTCGCAAAACGGAGCTGTCACTCACACTGAAATGACGAGAATAAACAAAGCACACCATGAAGCCGGCTAATAAATTCTGAGCAGTGTTAACACACACACACTTAGTCACATTTAAGTGTACAAATTTATATACATATTTTACATGACATTTTTCACTATCTATGCATAGTCTAAAAATAACAGTAACATGCACAAGTTAAAAGAAATGACCATGTTTAATTACCAGGGTAATATCATGAGTTTTTGAACACAGTGGTTCTCAGCCCGTTTGACTTGAAGGCATTCTGTTAATAGGATGGATGTTTGCTGAGGTCCCCTAATGGTCCCTGGCCCCCTGGCTGAGAACCACTGGTATACAAGATACCACACTATAGAAAAGGTTCTATCAGCGCTACGTGTTTGGAACCCCTAAAAGGTTCTATACAGAACCCTTTTTAAGGGTTCAATAATAAGATAAGAACCCTTTAGGGTTCTTTGTAACCAGGAAAAAGGTTCTATATGGAACCTTTTGGGTTCATTCATTATCACTTGTTTTGTCCTTTCCGGATTAAATATTTCATATTATTGACAAACATAAAGACCCTTTTGTGAATGCATGTGAATGATCACAAAATTCATGATATGGGGGTTAGAAAATGTATATATTTATATCAATTTATGAAGTTAATTAAAATCACACGAAGAGTGCCATTTCAGTTTTTCTCCTCCAAAAATCAGCACGATTAAAATGTGATATTAAGTTACTACAACAGTTTAATAAACAATAATTTAATTACAACCACATAATGTTGAACCTATAGAAACTATAGAATATAGTATAGAACCTTTTTCACTTTTTTAAAAAGTTCTGTGGAGTTGAGTAAAGAACCCTATGCTTCATATATAGAACCCCAATGAACCCTTTTTTCTAAGAGTGTACCATAGAATTATCATCTGATATCCATCAATGGACCATGGTATCTTCACAATACTTTTTTTGTAAGGGAGACTGAACAAAATAATTTTTGTTCTGCTTACCCTGAGGTAGTTGAGGGTAAAGTTGGTCAATCCCATGCGGGTGATGTTTTTCGAGAGCTGCTCCAGGACTTGAGGGTCTTGTGCCTGTAGGTGGACAAAAAAAAAGGAATGTTATCACTTAATACAACCTCCCCCCAAAATCCGCAGCATGTTATTGACCAAAATCAACTCATATGGCTTTTCTAATGCTTCATTTAAGAGACCCCAGATGTAACCACATATTTACGGTTATATTCAGATCTATATTTTGAATATCTGAGGGGTGAGGATTGGGGGACATGTGTCTTTCTCTGTGTCTATGGTGGTTGTAACACTGGAAGTGCTGTTAATTTTGTGTGCTGTAGAGATTCTAGTGATGCAATTTATCTGAATCACTGTGATTACGCTGAATACATTTTTGATTCAGATTTTGGGCATTGAATCAGGGGTGTGCTGCAGCTGCTAATTAATATTGATTGACTAAATGTAAATTGAAATGTGATAGCGATTTCACTATGAATTGCAAACGAATGAGGTTTTTGTTCTTACTGGTAAATTATTGACTAGATTCATCAAGGTAAATTGTGTTATGATTGATATAGCAATGACATCAGCCAATCATTGAGGTCCTGTCACTTGATTCATCTGGGCAGTGTGAACCAGCAGAGAAGAGCAGGGGTATTCAATTCAATTTCCAAGTGGTCTGGTGTCTATATTTACTTCCCAGTGAAGGTCAAGAAGAAAGAATAGTTCTAAATTTCCATCTTGACAGCAGTAATACTTATAGTACTTACAGTAGTAATTCTTTTTACACTACAGTGTGTATGGCAGAAGGCCATGTGACAGAAAATAATGTATACTGTATGGGGAGTCAGGACCATTTTTATATTTAGCTCAAAATGAGTATCTAAAATACAAACAAGCAATGCACATAATAATCAAAAGACTCTCGTCTTGAGCAGAAAACAGTAATTGTAGTAATTTCAAAGTTTTAGTTGTTTTCTTGCCATCAGCAAATAATTGTCCCAATTATAACATTGTTTATTATGAAATGCAATTGACACATTGATTAATACTGCTAAATGAAAAAAAGTCTTATAAAAACGTCTTTTTATATTGTAAATTGTATTTGCTGCATACTTATTTTCAGCAGTGTTTTAGAGAAAATATCAATCTATTTGCTGCTCACCGTGTTTCTGCTACTGTTGTTAAAATAACTGCGTCATCTCTTATAGTGGCGAATTAGCAGAAGAGAGAAGCAACACGCTGTCAGGATTTCTGTCATTTCTGTTTGGTTTATATTTGGTTTGGTGACAGACCGCTGACATTCCGACATTTGTCATGTGTTTGTGTTTAGTCTGGTTTGTTGTGAGCACATGGCTTGTCTTGTCTTCCTTACAAGGGGAGGTTTTGTTTGTAGCTTAGTTTTGTTTATTTATTACTTAACAAATTTAATTATACTCCACACTGAATCCTCGCTTCACTATTTTACCATTCCGTGACACACGCAAAGAATGGAAAGGCCTCGAATCAAGCTCTTGATAAAAAGGATATAGTGCCTAAAGATCATTACCATATACACGCCACTGAGCGCCTGTGTTGTGTATTGCTTATTTTTATGAGTTGCTCACTTTGAAATCTGGGAATGGTTAAATGGTGCTACCGCTGTCAGTATCTCTCATGGTCCGGTTATAACAAGGCCGCAGTCCGCTTTGAGCATCTAAAACACGGTTCCCCAAATGTGCTCATATTCTCATTAGCCTCGATCAGATGAGTTTGACTCAATTTCTTTGCAGCTTTACCCGTGTGTACGAGAATGAGTTGATCAAACATGCTGCAGTAACTTTTGCACTATCCTTGTCAAAAATCTTTCAAAGCCTTTCTCCCTCATTCACTCTCTCTCCCTCTCCACCAGAATACATGGCCCCAAAGGGCCCAATTTAAGAGCATGTGAATTTTATAAGTTGCTGTGAACAAACTTTCTAAAAACTACACTATCTCTGAATCTACAAGGGGGAGTGATGAGTTAAAACTCAAATGTGATTTAAAGCGAAATATATTGCTTAAAAAGCAATGAGTCATTAAAAGTTAAGTTTTAAAATGAGAAAGTATGAACACCTGGGCCCGTATTCATAAAGTTTCTGAGAATCCTCTCAAAAAACTCTTAAGCTTAAAAACATTTACGTAGGAGTCTTAGCTTAAGAGCGATCTGAGAGCAATTCTGAGTAAGGAAAAGACAAAAACTTTCATCTTAGTGAGGAGGCGGGGTTGACCCCGTTGCTATGTATGACACAATCTTTTGAAGACTGTGATTGGTTGGTTGTCCGCGAAGGAAAAAAGGATTGATTTTAAGTATAGGGTCTATTATAAGCCTTCACTTTAAAATTACATACATCATTTTTCCTATTTGACTGTTCTCAAACACACACACATTATATAAGTGAATATAAATCCTTTATTTTATTTACCATGCTGTTAATTTCCTATAAGGTATTTGATTGGCTTTCCACTCTTTCCAATTACACTGCTGGCATGTGGTTTGAATGTTGGCTTTAATGTAACAAACATGGAATCAAAAGCAAGAAGGATGAGAAAGCCTGACTGGAAAGAGGAACAGTGTTTACTGTCAGCCCAGTTAGTGGATGAACACAAGGCCATCCTTTATTAACTCACTGTCATCCATTGTGTGCGCTACACATTTCTTCTTCCTCTTCGTCTTTCTGCCATTTTCTCCTCTGCTAAAGAAACTCTTAAGCCTCTTAAAAGTCCTTGTTGGTACTCGTAACAATTTTGACCTTAAGACGTCTTTAAAGGGTTTACTTTCTGAATTACTTCTTTCTTTACTGGGATATTTTCTTTCATTTTAAGAGTAAACGCCCACATTTCAAAGTCTTTTCTTAGAATTTTGTCACTAGGAGTCTGGAGCTACTCTTTGCATTAAGATTCTTTATGAATACAGGCCCAGGTTTTCTGTTGCTTTATTTCCATAATCGCAGCATGTCTGCTGTTTTTACTGTATTTTTGATCAAAATGAGAGCCTTTCAAAAATACTTTTAAAAAAATCATAAGTTTGAAATGGTAGTGTAACATTTGAGTGAAGAACCAAAGAAATTTTATAAAACGAATAGCTTTGCAAAACAGCTGATAAACTGCACACACACCTCCACCCAAACCATGTGGTAGGACAGCCCTAGGATGGAGTGATGATATCAAACTCACGTGCATGGCTAGAATGCTCCGTGGGATGAGTTCCCGATACTGTCTGATGTTGAAGTGCCACGTCTTGATCCTCATCAGATCGTCGAAGGCAAACTCCAGAATCAACCTGCCCTCCGTACACACCTGAGAATGCAAACACCGAGAAGTCTATGATGTCTTCAAAGTCTACAGTCTGCTGATATGTCCTTTGTGTTAAATGTCTCTCTCATCGTGATAAATAAAAGGTGTTTATGTTGTACACCTGAACTGAAGGCCAACGAAATGGAAATACTTGAGAAGAGCTTACACAAAAACAAAACAACAAAATGCTGAATACATGCAGAGGTCATAAACCATTGGCAATTACTTAAAAATCAGGATGTGAAAAACATTCTGCTGAATTTAGAGCTGCGCTACTCATAGCCCCAATGTTCTGTTGCTGGGGCAACTGGAGGATGAGGAGGAGGAGGAAGGCGGAGGAAGGGGGATTGGGGGGGTGGGAGCGTCAGCTGATTAGTTGGCATGGCAACGGCAAAGATGTAATCCCGCCAGAGCCACTCTAATCAATGCCCTCAGCACAGATGGTCTCTGGAGGATCAACAAGAAAAGAGGCTGGCGGGAGAGCACAGCGCCATCACATGACCACACTCTTTCACATTCTCTTGCTCTCTCTCCCTTCTGTATGCTTTTCCTACTCTCTGAATCGTTTTTCGCTTGTTTCACTCTTTCCCCGTCTCTCCTTTTTTTGTGTCCATCTTTCCATCCCTTTTTCAGCACCATCGCTCAACACCGTAACATGCTGGGGAAAAAATAAAAGACTTTTCGTCTCCCTCTAAAACTGTACTGCTCCATAGCTGTGCTTTAGGATGTGTTTAAAATTTCAACCGGTCTAGCATTATGTCCAATAGAGGATACACGCATAACAGAAAAATACTATCATCATGATCAATTTCATCTCATCATCATTCACTTGTGATGGAAATGACATTTTGGAATCTCCTTAGTCTGGCTAAAGTTAATTTCATAGCTAGATTTTTATGTATCCTTAATACTCACAACAATACAATTAAAAAGCTTGATTGCAAATAAAACAATATGGAATTTTACAAAAAATGTACAAGTACACTAACTTTTGAATTGGGTGAAAAAGTTGTTGACAGCTGAAATGTGTGTAAACTAGTTTTATTTTCACACACTACATATCCAAATGGCTTATATATATATATATATATGCAAAAGCCTCTAAATGCCATTTGAAATTTTCTTCTTTAATGATGATTTTTATCAAACTTGTATATTTAAGTTCAGTAATTTCAATTAAATAACAATTAATAGGTAATTATCATTGCCATTTATGTGAAATCACTGAACTTAAATATACAAGCTTGATAAAAATGATCATTCTAGAACAAAATTTCAAATGGCACTCTTCATATATATATATATATATATATATATATTAGGGCTGGGCAACGAATAATCGCGATTAATCGCATCCAAAATAAAAGTTTGTGTTTACGTAATATATGTGTGTGTGGTGTGTATAATTATTTTGTATATATAAATACACAAACATGCATGTATATATTTAAGAAATATTTGCATGTATATACTTTATATATATTTATACATAATTAATATTATATATATTATATATAAATATTTGATATATTAAGAACACATTTTTCTAAAATATATACATGCATGTGTGTGTATTTATATATACAAAATAATTATACACACTATGCACACATATATTATGTAAACACAAACTTTTATTTTGGATGCGATTAATCGCGATTAATCATTGCCCAGCCCTAATATATATATATATATATATATATATATATATATTTGGTTCTCCACTCTGTACAAATACACAAATGACTACAAAATATTAGCTATTATGTTTTTTAATATTTCTCTGAATGCAGCACAAGAGTACAGCTGAGATTTTGTAATCAGTTCCTCAAAGACTAGTGGGTTTCTATTCATCTGTATCTGTAATAAGTACATGGGCTCTTGTATGGATTAAAGTGGATTAGTCCCTAACAGTATGTGAAAATAATCTAAAGTGCTTGATGGACAAGGCAGAAACGTAAAATCTGTTGATAAGTGGTTTAACCCGGCTCTGATGCATGATGTCCACTCAAGTCATTTTTTAACCAATCAGGGTGTGACATTACACCAAAACCACAATGGGCTGATGACCTTTCACCTTTTTTCATAATACTATGACTTTTTGTTATTTTTATTACTATAACAACATTTTATTATTATTATTATTAAGACAGCAGGAATTCAGGCTGAAAAGGTGGTGAAGCATCAAGTACCTATATCTTATATTCCACTGACCGAGGCATAAACATGTCAACAGGGTGTGACTAATAAAACTAAGTGACTAATAAAATAAAATAATAAAATAAAACCTTCATATTCAATCAGTAAACAGTTAGCTGACACCTAATTTTGTCTTCTATTTCAAATGCAAGTCTGTATTATGCTTGCTTTTGTGTCCTAGTTTTAGTGTATTCAGACCATGCAGAAAATGAAATCTCACCAACTTGATTTTATTGTGGTTTTTTTTACCATGACTATGAAACCAGTCAAAAGTATATGACAATACACTGTATACACAGAGTGAGCGCTGAGTAATAGATTCATAAAGAGCTTTCTCAGCAGAGTCCTAACCTCCATCAGTAAACACTTCTGTTATAGAATAATAGCTGTGATTAAAGTAGTACATTATCAAGCTTGCACACTCACACACACACCCTTTTTTACCTTGGTGAACATGGGCTTGCCGTGCTGTGTGACCATGGTGCACTGGTCGCAGTCCACAGTGATGCAGGAGTTGTGGAAGGACTCTTTGGAGTGTTTCAGGATGTAGTAGAGGTCTGACACGCCACCTTCAAATACCGTGCTGAAGTAACGAGGGATGAGGGTCCGCCCGATTGCTGAGGAGGGAGATAAGATGTCATTTACATTGCATTTCATTTTAATGCATTACTAGATGACTCGAAATGTCTCAACTTTTTCACTGTTTTTTGCGCTATTAGTAAAGTAAGATGTTGATCCCCACATTTCTTGCAACTCTTAGTCCTTTCAGTTTCTACAGTTTTCACAAATATGTGGCATCATAGTTCAAACACACATTTTAATTATACGTTTCTATTTTTAACATTAAGTATTTTTGTTTTTGCAGCATTTTCATAGAATCCCAACTAACAAAAATATGTTCTGAGAATTTTATTCCCATTAACGTTAGTAACGTTATTTCTGAATTAAAAAAAAAAAAAACTTTTTTACTTGATTCTGTGGGGGGAAAAAACAGCAAACATTTTGCAAACATTATGAGTATGTTGCTTTGGAATGTTCTATGAATCTTCCGAAACAAGTAGTAACAATCTTTAGACAAACGTCCAACTAAAAACGTTTAAGGGAATATGTTGCATGAACTATGTACAAATAACAATTTTGTGGAGAACATTAATAAAGAGCAGATAACTTTGAACGCACATCCTATTACCGGAGGAATGTTTGTTCATAACTTGGCTAACAATGTTAGCCAAAGTTCTGAGAATGATCCCTGTAAGATGGGATGTTCCATTTTGGGGTGGCAAACCCCTGGATTTGACTCAACATTCATAATTGATTTATTTATAAAGCACAATTAAAAAAACGTAATGTTGACCAATGTGCTGGACAATCACACAATAAAATGACACAAATAAAATGTATTTCCATACAAATAATGGCAAACAACATCTGGTAAGAGCCTCTTGCCGATTAGCCTACTGATCCAATGTATCTGGTTGTCTGCTTCGAAAATGCGTGTGCTTTAAATATGTACACAAATCACTGAACGTACAGTACAATATAGTTGGCCCCCTAAAAGTTAAACCGGGCTCTGCGATGATGTCATGAAGCATTCCTACAACATTGAAAATATTCTGTGACAGAATATAAAACTAATGAATAGAAAAAGACAGATGAAAGGATCCTTCATTCCCACACCAAGACTGGGAACTGTTTGTTAACAATGGTTGAAGATTAGTCTAACTGATATGAAGTATGTTAATTTATTTTTGTAAACTGTTTACAGTAACATGCCTGAGGTCTCACAAAAAGTTAAGTTGGAATACTTATTCTTCCCTGCAGCTGGAGATAATTATGCAACCTTTTTGTTGTTGTTTAACAATGAACAAAGACAGAGCCCCTGTCTGGACTTGTGGCCTCGGGAATATCTGCATGGTTCTTCTTATATTCTTGCTTCACTAAATATATATGTAAAAAAGAAAATCCAGAAAGTATGCCCTGTAACAAATCATTTCAAATCATGGTTTCAACAAACAACCTCAAAAACGTCAATAAATTTAATTGGGAAGCAAAATTGTAAAATTTATATTTTAAATGTACCTAAATAAGTTTTTTTTTAACTTTAACATAGGTCTCACTAAATTTAGATAGAATTAACTAAATGAATTACAATGGAGAGAGAATAATAAACTTTAATTTTTGGTAAAGCTAAGAAGATTTAGTCAGGGTTATGCTTCTTGGATTGAGTAATAGAAATGGGGGGTAGACAAACTTAATTTATTATATATAATTATATTATGTATAATAAATTAAATAATAAACATATTTTAAAATGTCATTTATTCCAAAGCTGAATTTTCAGCATCATTACTCCAGTCTTCAGTGTCACGTGATCCTTCAAAATCATTCTAATATACAAATTTGATGTTCAATAAACATTTCCTATTATTATCAATGTTGAAAACAGTTGTGCTGCTTAACATTTTTGGGAAAACCATGATACAATGTAAAAATCTCTGCTGTCAATTTTGATCACTTTAAAGCATTTGCTGAATTAAAAATACCAATTGCTTTCAAAAACAAAATCAAAATGAACACACAGTCACCTATTGAAAAGCTTTAAAAAAACATCTTTGGCCAAGAAAGTAGCAGACATGCCCACAGAAATTCAATTCAATGCAATTCAAATTTAGCGCTTTTCACAATACATCTTGTTTCAAAGCAGCTTTACAGAAAGTGCATAGAAAAAACAGTTAGATAACCATGTGTTAATTTAGGGCATAACGTCTCTTCACAGGCGTTTAGTCGTCTCATCGCAGGTGTTGGGGAATCTGAAGTTTCTGTGAGAGGCTGGATACAATCTGGAGCTGAAGAACGCTATTTACCTCGGGACTAGCGTCCCCACAGAAACAACTTGTAATTTTTGCAAGTGGCTTTGCAGTCTTAACTTATCATTTTAATATTGAAACTGAACGGACGAGCAGCCTTATCCAGCTTAGCGTCTGATTTCAGGCAGAAATAATCCATCTTACAGTCAAACTCCCCTTTGAGAGAAATTATGTTTGTGCCCCCAGCCCTGAGGGAGCGGAACGGGGGTGGTGAAGGGAAGGAGAGAGAGAGAGACTTCATTTACCCAGCTTCCCTTAAGACAGATGCCACTGCCGCCACTGGTTAAAACTGCACGGGCAGGAGGAGAAAATGAAACAGCTGCAAACGCGGCCTGTTTCGTAAATTGGCTAAAGTCTGGCATGACTAAATCAACACATAAATACTTGGCAGGGGGAGAGAGTGAGAAAAACGGGAGAAGAGGAAAAGAGGAGAGGGAGGGAGAGCCCTAGCTTGAGCGTATAAATGAAGGTCTCCCTAGTGGTTAAGACACAGAGTGAGCCGACCACGAGAGCTGACTGTTAATGAGAGAGTGCGAGAAAGAGAAAGGTAGAGCGCTTCGAAGGGACAGTGAAAATAAATATGAAATGATCATGAATGGACAAAAAGGCACACAGAAAGCGCTACAGGGAGGGAAAGAGAGGAAGAAAGTGAGAGAGATGCAAAATGAAAGGCTGACAGGCAGGGTGACAGCGAGGGGTGTCATGCTGAAGGGAGATGTTGTTTCTGCAGGCACACCTGACTGCCTGCTAAAGTTCTAGAGCACTGTGGCATGGCGGATGCAATGCCTAACCAAATGGCATAAAATCACAGACACACTCACACACACCGGCGAAAACTAAAATAACAGACGAGCGTGTGTGTGTGTATGCATGGTGGTGCCAGGGCAGCTTGAACACACAAGGAGCTCTTTAATTCCTAGTGAAAGCTATCAAGGAACAACTGGATTGTGCTAACCAAACAAACCTTAACCAATTGGTCTATTCTAACATCAAATACATCCAGTCTTTAAATACATGGTATTGCCAGGAGTTCAGGAGTTCAGTTGGTTTTCAACTGCTGACATTTTTTTAATGAAAATTTCTTGAAATAGCATTACATCATCAACTGGAATAGAGAATTTAAATATTCTATAAATACGACTTAAGTTACTTTTTAAAGTAATGCATTACAATTCTGTGTTACTCCAAAAAAAGTAACTAATTGCATTACATTTTATGGAATGGAATGCGCTACTTTACTTTTGCGCTACTTTTTCTCACCTGGGCATAAAATATATTTGTGTTTTTTTAACATATACAAAGTTCTGTAAATGTAGATGGTGCAGGCTAATAGGTCCTTAACTCAAATGCTTGGAATCATATAGGGCACAGCTGATTGGTTCCTGATGTATCAGTAGCCAATGAGCAAGTGTGTCTTAGCAGTGCAGAACGCTTTCAGAAACTCCTTCCCCAGTTCCACCTGTATAGATCTGCTACAGGTGATTCATGTACGCTATATTGTACAGCAGCAGCATGTCTTACTTGCTCACAGCAGCGTGTTGTGTATGTATTGGCAGTAGCGAGTCCTGTACATCATACCACCCTGTAGCCCAAGACTGGTTGCCCACTGAAGCTAAGCAGGGTTGAGTCTGGTTAGTACCTGGATGGGAGACCTCCTGAGAAAACCAGAAGGCTGCTGGAAAGAGGTGTTAGAGAGGCCAGTAGGGGGCGCTAACCCTGTGGTCTGTGTGGGTCCTAAAGCCCCAGTATAGTAATGGGGACACTATACTGTCAAAGAGCACCATCCTTCGGATGAGACGTTAAACCGTGGTATTGACTCTCCGTGGTCATTAAAAATCCCAGGATGTCCTTCAAAAGAGTAGGGGTGTAACCCCGGCATCCTGGCAAATTTGCCACTGTCCATCATGGCCTCCTAATCATCTCCATATACTGATTGCCTTCATCAGTCTGTCTCCTTTCCACCAGTAAGCTGGTGTGTGGTGTGCATTCTGGCGCAATATGGCTGCCGTCGCATCATTCAGGTGGATGCACATTGGTGGTGGTTGAAGAGATTCCCCCCTTCCATATGTTTGAGGTCCCAGAAAAAGCGCTATATAATTGTAACAAATTATTAATTATAATTACTTTCTCTGCAGCAGCAGCAATAACCAACAGTAGCAGCATAGCAGATCTATTCAGCCAAGACCAAATTCTGTATATCAACATTGTCATTTCCATTACCATACCAAACACTTTTAGTTTATTCAGTGTTCCTGTAACTGTAACCTGTAACTTCTTGTGCCAGTAATAACCGATAAAAAGGAAATACTTTCCTTCAGTGAAAGCTTAATCTCCCCGCTCATATTTTTTCATGCTTTATTCATTATCAATTGTGCCAGATAAAAAAAAAAAACGGCGAAAGGTCCTAGTGGGATGTAGATTTTACTTTGCTACCTTTAGAGGGAGCACTTCAAACAGTCTAGCCTCAGTAGGAATCTGACAATAACCCACATGTTTTTCTGAATCTTTTTTTGCCTGAGCATGTGTGGCTCTTTTTGCGTGTTGTGAGGGGACTCCAGACTGATTGGCCCATCTACAGAAGCGAGCACTCCAGAGATTGGATTAAGCAGTCACTTGTTTCGGCTAACACGTCGTGCAACATATGCCTCTCAAGTAATGTGTACCCAAACACGCAATTTACAAATAATTAACGTTGTGTTAATTAGGCACATTAATTCACGCTGTGCGTAAGCTCCAGGACGGATGCCAGT